GTATAGAGTCCTTAGTTTTAACGCATCCTCTATAATGGCCAAGAAAGGGAGCGGGAGCATTTCCGTTGTGCTGCAGCGATTTCATTGTGTTGTGGCTTATTTCCGTTGTGTTGTGCTAATTTCGTTGTGCTGCAGCGATTTCGTTGTGTAGAGATTTAGTTTTGTTGTGGCTTGTTTCCGTTGTATTGCGACTTTTTTCCATTGTGTTGTGGCTTGTTTCCGTTGTGCTGCGGCGATTTTGTTGTGTTGTGCACTACTGGTCCACCGTAGAGATCTTTTCTGAAACGTAACGTTAGTGGAAACGCCAGTATGGACGAGGAATGCTTTCATTTTAAAAAGCTGTTTTAAAAACAAAAACGCACTAGTGTAAACATAGCCTTACGTCTATGGGGGTCGGACACTTACACACTACAGCCTCACTTTGAGCCACGTCTCTGGGCGTCGGCATAGACTAGAAGGTGTGTTCGACTTGCTGCGGCGTTGTGCAGACCAATCTGTGTATGAAATCAAAGTACCGTGAGAGCTAGACAGCAGACGGCTCCATGAGCTTTGGATCGCTCTCACGGTACTTTGATGTCAGACACGATCAGTCTGCGCAGCGCCGCGCCACGTCAAGTTCAGAACGTGCTGACGTAAGACATCTACTCTGGGCCAATCAGAACATTCTGACGGAGATGACGCATTTACTCCTCGCTGTTTACGGAAGTCAAAGAAATGTCTAAAATTGTCTAATACGATGTCTGCGGGAAAAAAAGCAGTTGCATGAATGTGAACATTTGTGAAAAGTGAAAAGTGAAAAGTGAAAACATCAATGAAAACACTGACTGCTTATACTGGCATAGCTGTTTAAAGGTCATTTCCAGTTAATGATGTCACCATATTTAACGTTACTGGTATTTTGAAATTGATGTGTGAATGGTGCTTTACCAGAAAAAAGACGGAACGTCATTGCCTGTGTGAACAGCGCATTTTTTTATTTACCGGAAAAGTTGTTCCGGTAATTTTACGGCAATTTACTGGTATTACTGTGTGAAATTGTCCCTACAATAACAGACTGTTGTGCAATAAATCATTCATTCAAGAGCATTGTGCAAGTTTACTACAACAGAGTCAATGCCGTGAACTTCGCATACTCTAGTTGAACCTAAAAAGCAATCATTGTCAGAGTTGTAAACATGACAGCTTTCTTCTTCCATTGGGGGGTTTAGCGTCATAACGGCTTTGTTTCCAGGAGGAATGTTAAAGAACACGACACACAATTCCTTCAGAAATCCTGTAGAATACATCCAATCAGGTGACGACTTTCAAAACTCCTGAAGTGTTTTCTTGATTTCAGTAAAAAAATAATTTGGGTAAATCACTGATGTATAATTGCACACAAGTTTTCACACTGTATTTTTGGTAAAATGTGTTTTTTTTGGCCTATAAACAAAATGCACTTATGCACTGATGCTGGATAGCTCTCCCAAAAAGTTGTCATCATTACTTCACCCTCATGTCATTTTGTGCAACACATCAAAACATATATTGAAGAATGTCCAGTCTGCCTTTTTCTCTGTTATTGTATAAAAAGGGCACAGTGGATATTCTGCAATACGTCATATTTCCACAGAAGAACTAAAGATTACAGAACTACAGGTTTGGGACCACATGAGGAAGACGTAAATTATGACATAATATTCATTTTTGGATGAACTATCCTTTTGAGATGCCTGATGATACAGTATGAGGTGTAAAGCGGGCTGAACTGTTTGTGCCCCATCAAGGGGAAAAGGTTGTTGTTCTAAATAGTTCAGTTTGAATTTCAGCTGACTCTTAACTGAGTCACACAGATGAACAAATCAATCACTTTAATTCACAGACCAAAAGCCTTAGCCTGGTAATTACAGGACAGTGCTGAGGCAGATCTCCTCTACCTTCATCACTCACACTGCTCTCCTTAGACAAGCATTGTTTCTTGTTGTTCTACAATAACACGTTTATATGCACTAATTTTCACAGTGAATCCAGTCCAGTTCTGTTCATATGAACAATGAAGGTTGCAATCCTATTCACATATTTCTATAAATGTATGTTTCATGTGCTCTGAGCAAAAATGAGCACAAATGCATTTAGATCCAGAGAAAGCCGCAACAATAACGTCACCAGAGCTACTGCAAGCATTTTTTGCCTTGATGACATACCTAAAATGAAAGATGGCGTGTCAGCTTTTTACCAAATATTTAGTAATATTTAGTCTCTTTTACTGACCACGTCATAAGATGCAAAATAAACATTTGTACACGTTACAAAATGATTTTTTGAAGTTGTAAACTAAACAAAGGTTATTGGATATGTTTTGCAAGAAAATACTACTTCAGGCTTTTAATTAGGCTACGTGTGAATGGCAATTTCTTTGTAATTATTAGTGAGTGAAAATTGCTTCAACGTAAATCCTACAGCATTTTTTTTTTCAGTGTATAAAACGTATGTAAACACATGCCTAACAGCACTGAGGTTTTTTTTTAATCCAATTAAGAAAAATCTGATTCAAGGGTTTGCATGCTTAATTTTTTTCGAAATAAGGAGCTACTTTCTAAGGCAGCATCATAAGCAGTAGGGGCGTCAAATGCAACAATACCAGTCTTTCCCCATTATCGTTAGAGCTTATTCAGTTCACCGCCAATGATCTGTCTGTTTGACATTCGCCTGCTTTCAGACAACATACGCACTGTACTTGTGCATGTGAACATGATCAAGCCATTTACGGTTTTCTCAAATTTAAGTCCTGTTTAACTGAAAACTGTGCAAGGTATTGTTGCATGAAGTTTGGCTGATAGGTTTAATATAATAATTTTGATGAAAGTGATCTAATTAGGCCGAACACAAATTTGTGGTGGTGGTAAGAGATTTGGCATTATGGGATGATGATAGATCAGTCTGTATATGATATCAGAGGTTGTTTTTGAACGGTCACATCCAGATTCTGACACATTAATAGTGCATCATATACAAATCTTATGTTTTCAAAGGGGAATTCAATTGCTGATGCCAATATGATAATTTATTATCCCCCCTTTCAGTTTGATTTAGTTTTTGCTTTGAGTCACCACTCTGACTTAGGCAAAAACATGTTTTGAATCAGATCCCCATATTAGTTCAAAATAGGAATGGAAAATAGTGTTTCGATAAGCTAACAGCCACAGCCAGACACACACCCATTGTGCAAGACGTAATGTAGTCCCTGTTGTGTACGTTTATAGAAATTTCCTTTCATGAAATTCATCATGCTGTCATCTTACTCTATTTCTGGACCTTTTCTTAATATTTTAAAGTATGGTTTATTACACTACATGTCCTATAATTCTTCCAATCATTTTCCCCCCAGTTTTCTTGTACTTTGTAAGCCATTCATGAACTGTTTGTTTAAAAAGATGTTATTTTTCTCAAATGTACCATGTTAAATAGAATACTTTGAGGTACCTGTTAATCATTCAGTACGATCACTGCACCATTTTATCATAGTACTTTTTTGAAAAGGGTTAAATAATTATATATATTTTTTAAAAAGTATAAATTATAAGCTATTATAAAGTGTAAATTATTAAAACTTTAAAATGTTTAGGAATACTGTATGTTATTGATTATAACAATCAGTAAGTGATTAACATTACACAATACAATTTATATTATTTAATGCTTAACAGCTTATTATTCAATGCGAATTCATATTGTTAAAAATTAAACTTGAATGAAACTACTTATTTTTATACACTACTGTTCAAAAGTTTGGGGCCGGCTAAATTAAAAAAAATGTGCTTGAAAGAAGTCTCTTATGCTCAGGGAATTCAATTGCTGATGCCAATATGATAATTTATTATCCCCCCTTTCAGTTTGATTTAGTTTTTGCTTTGAGTCACCACTCTGACTTAGGCAAAAACATGTTTTGAATCAGATCCCCATATTAGTTCAAAATAGGAATGGAAAATAGTGTTTCGATAAGCTAACAGCCACAGCCAGACACACACCCATTGTGCAAGACGTAATGTAGTCCCTGTTGTGTACGTTTATAGAAATTTCCTTTCATGAAATTCATCATGCTGTCATCTTACTCTATTTCTGGACCTTTTCTTAATATTTTAAAGTATGGTTTATTACACTACATGTCCTATAATTCTTCCAATCATTTTCCCCCCAGTTTTCTTGTACTTTGTAAGCCATTCATGAACTGTTTGTTTAAAAAGATGTTATTTTTCTCAAATGTACCATGTTAAATAGAATACTTTGAGGTACCTGTTAATCATTCAGTACGATCACTGCACCATTTTATCATAGTACTTTTTTGAAAAGGGTTAAATAATTATATATATTTTTTAAAAAGTATAAATTATAAGCTATTATAAAGTGTAAATTATTAAAACTTTAAAATGTTTAGGAATACTGTATGTTATTGATTATAACAATCAGTAAGTGATTAACATTACACAATACAATTTATATTATTTAATGCTTAACAGCTTATTATTCAATGCGAATTCATATTGTTAAAAATTAAACTTGAATGAAACTACTTATTTTTATACACTACTGTTCAAAAGTTTGGGGTTTTTTGAGAGTAATTTTGGAAAAGAAGATGAGTGAGAACAAAGGGAGAAATAAAAGCAAAATTAGAAAACTAACAGTTCTATCATGTCCCTTCTATTAAATTTCTGAAGATTTCTCTTTATTCGTCATCTTTCCTACGCAACCTGTTTTCCTCAAGAAAGAACAAAAAAAGTTTTTTCTAAATTAAAAAAAATGTGCTTGAAAGAAGTCTCTTATGCTCACCAAGGCTGCATTTTTTTAAATAAAAAATGCAGTAAATATTGTGAAATATTATTCAAATTTTAAATATCTGTTTTCTGTTTTAATATATTTTAAAATGTAATTTATTCCTGTGATGGCAAAGCTACATTTTCAACAGCCATTACTCCAGTCTTCAGTGTCACACCTGTCACACACTTTTTACCTCTCGTGTGCAGGTCCAGGCTCACGGGGCGCTGCTGTATCTGGTGTCTCTGTTAGCAAGTATGGAGCACAGTGCCCATCACACACTACTGCTGGAAATCCGCTGCCTGACCGATCGCTACACCTCCATCCTGGGCGGCGGAGTAAAAGACATCTACCGCATGAGCAACAGTTTCACCGCCATTGCACGACTTTTGGGACGCAAGCTGGAGGCTGAGAGTACATTTAGCAGGTAGTCACACACAGAGACATTTTGAAAGTGAAAGTGTAGCCAAGTATGGTGTCCCATACTCAGAATTTGTGCACCCGGAACAGTGCTGGGGAGCAGTTGGGGGTTTAGTGCCTTGCTTGAGGGTCTCGTGGTATTGAGGGTAGAAAAGAGCGCTGATCATTCACTCCCCACACCTACAATCCCTACTTGTACCGAGACTCGAACCCGCGACCTTTGGGTAACAAATCTTACTCTCTAACCATGAGGCCATGACTGCCCCAGTTAATTTCCCACTTGCTTCAATTTCCTGAATAGCCTTGACATGTTCCAGTATTAGTTTTTTAAACCACGCAGGTGATTAGTTTTATTGAAGTAATTGACATTTTATTATGATGGAATAACTTCTGTTAAAAAGCTCCCTAATCTGCAGGGCTTTGTCTGAATGTCAGCATTAACCATTGCAAAATTCTTCAGCTAATCCGTGTTTTGGCAGTTTCATTGCTAAAAGTCTGATGAGGTAATGATGTACTCCAGATAGAAATATTTTGTTCATTTCTGTGTTTCTAAGACTTAATTTGTTCTTTCTTGAGGAAAACAGGTTGCGTAGGAAAGATGACGAATAAAGAGAAATCTTCAGAAATTTAATAGAAGGGACATGATAGAACTGTTAGTTTTCTAATTTTGCTTTTATTTCTCCCTTTGTTCTCACTCATCTTCTTTTCCAAAATTACTCTCAAAAATGACAGTTATGTTTATTTCAACTATATAGAAATTGTTTTTATGTTTGGAATAAACCATTATTATTATGGCTTTCTGGAATACTTGTTTCTGAATACTTGATTCAATGACAAATCAATCAAAAACAATTATTTAAACAAAATAGCATCAAATGTGAAGTGTCGGATTGTGTTAATTTTGTTAGACATTTTTAATTTAGTCTTAGTCTTAATACTGGTGTCAAATGTACTTTTTAGCTATTATCATATTTAGTCAACCTTCTCCTGTTTTTAGTTTTAGATTTAGTCGACTAAATGTCTGAGCGTTTTAGTCAATGAAAACATTTTCATCACATTTACGTCATGCTGTATAATAGTTAAACTGATAAATATTGTTGTCATTTGAGAAATGTATTTTTACATTTTAGGTATTGCACTTTCACCAATAAGCACCAATCAATAGAAAGTGGACTCATACACAAGGTTTATTTTACCTCATCTAGTGTACTGATTTATTATAGGCTATTTAATATATAAATTCATATCTAATACTTCGACATGCACTCTGTCTGTCTACATTATGAGTTATTGTTGTCTCATCATCGTCTCGTCTTAGTCATGGGACTAATAAAGGATGATAAATTATACTTTTTGTTAACTAAATTAACACTGGTGTCGAACAGGGAGTTATGGGAGTTTGACTTGCTCTTTCTTTCACAAATTGTTCATTTAACATTATTTTACTGCAAAATTACATGAAATGTCCTGTTAGATATTACAAATTTTCACTATATATACAGACAATACAAGCAACGCCAGTGACGCAATGCAATGGACCCACAATTCAGTTCGGCAACGCATGACATTACCCATTCAAAGTAAATGAGCAGCTTTAATGCCGACGCTCCATGTGAATGCACCATTAGAGATTGGTGTAGGGTTAGTTGCATTACTTGTAATTAAACATAATTGTGTAATTATGCATAACTGTTGTTACTATAGTAAGTACAGTGCATGTAAGATGTGTAACAAGGTTGCTGTCAAATGAAGTGTTACCTTTAATGCTATTTCAAATATTGTTTTTAAAAAGTATACAGTATTCGGTACATACTGTTCAGTATACACTAGTGCAGTTGTATTCCATTCTGAACTTGGCCTTTATCTTTGTTCATCAGAGAGGAGGAGAAGGTGCAGGATTTGTCCAGGCCATGTGAAGCCGAGTCTAGTTCGGACATGTTTGCTGAGAACCAGCGTCTGCAGGTGAAGATCCAGGCTTTCGAGCAGAAGATGGGCGATGAGGTGGAGTTTGAGGAAGAGGGTGCTTCCCCTGGTCCTGAGAGACGCCACAGTCTGGGTCAGGCAGCGCGAGATGAGCGCAGAGAGATGAGGTTCAACAGGTGGGCCTGACCTGTGGGAATTTAGAAATAAATTAAAAGTTCAAAATTGCTGAAATGGACCTTACGATAAATAAATGATCTCTGATGTCCAAAAGCAAAACGTTTTTATGTTTGCACATGGAAAGGAATTGTAGAATGTATGGTAGGGATGCACCGAAATGAAACTTCTTGGCCGAAGCTGGAAAAAATTAAACACTGGGCCGAAGGCCAAATACCGAACACGGTTTTTCACATTTTCCCCCCATGTAGGCCTATTTTCCCACTTTTTTCACCATTGGATTAATTAAATTGCCAAAATGTGCTTTTTACTGTTTTGTCCTGCTTTTCAAATAAAATATTAATTACAAAACAACAATTTAAAAATATTCTATAACATTATAATATATAATATAATATTAACATTCTAGCAGACATTATACCAACAAAGCACAATTTAACTTAAAATGAATAAGTTAGTAAAATAATATTTTTTGGCCATTTTTGAGACTTGAATCAGGCATGTATTTTTTACTGTACAAATAAAGGCAGCCTTGCTGAGCAGAAGAGACTTCTTTTAAAACATTAAAATATATTACAGATCCCAATTTGAACACTATGTGTGAATGTTATAATAAATGTATTAATAGAGCTGTTGTAGAGTAATTATTATTATCATTATTATTGTCTTAATATTTTATTTTACAGAATGACAGTAAAATTACAATACTATCATTTATGAATGTCGATGGAGTTGTTGCTTTTTCTCGGCTTTTATTTTGGCAGAAACCCGCAGGAAGATCTCAGTGCTTCTTTTTGTTGACAACAGCATGCAGATTTATAAATGATTCTCATTACGAATTTGGGAAGATGTTTGTCGCACGTATCGCATTGTCACATCTTAAAAAAAATTCACAAAAATGTTACTGAGCAACTGACGAGTAACAAGTTCAGCGCAGATTTTCCGTTGAACCCTGGCGCAGTTCTGCAGTTTATTTACTAATCGTTTGAGGTCATTTCACGATTTCAATCATCATACAGTAACCTAAACACCAGCATCAGCCATCTCTTCTTCTCATCGGAGACGTGATGCAACACTAAACAGTCTCTCGCTGTCGGTTCTTCGTGCTTGTAATGATTTCTGCGTCTTTCTCTGATAGTTTTAAATACTTTCATGCTGCCGACATGTTTGCTGCATTAGTGCGTGCCTCTATTTGATTGCGTTAGTCATTGTTCGGTACATATTATTCGGCGAAATATTCGGCCTTTTCGCTTATTCGGCGAAATATAATATCGGTTGCCGAATATTCGGTGCATCCCTAATGAATGGTAAAGGTTTTTAAATAGCACTTGTCATTCTTTATTACATTTGCTCTGTATGTACGTATGGTATTAATTTTAGTCTTAGTTTTAAATTTAATTTAGCTAAATACCACACTGCAAAAATACGTTCTACATTTTCTAGTAGAGTATGCCACTTTTTAATAACTCACAGCCTAAAATAAATGAACTGCCTCTGAGATTTTGAATTTTGACGTGTGCTCTTCTCTCATGTTCAGGTCAAAGAGTCTGGCTCTTCACGCTGTACGCACACGATCCATTAACTCTGACAGCAGTCCAGAGGGAGAAGGGCTGGATCTGAGCACAGAACTCGGTGTCTGTGAGGCCAGTCCCAGCCCAGAGACCCGTCCTGCCCTCACGACCCTGCAGGAGAACCACAAACTCACAGAGACTCAGCCTGACACATCTGCAAACAGTGAGGGCCAAAAGGGGGTGGTTGGAGACCTCCGGGAGGGAGATAGACTCTGGATCCACCTAAGAGACAACATGGAAGAGATCAAAACCTTCTGTGCGGAAATGATCAAACAAATTCCCATACCTGAGCACTGTGTCATTGAAGGTAACCTTTCAAATCTAAGAGCAATCCACACAGCAACACATTCAAAAGTACCTTGCATTTATGAGTAGCGCAGAAGGAGAACTCGCTTCTACAAGTTTTACCACACTCTCATCCAGAAATTACTTTGGACATGGGAATTAATTTGAACATGAAAGTGTTTATACAAGACTACAACTTTGTTGTTGTTTTAGCATATATTCCTGGCATATTTTGAAGTATGCTAGAAATGTAATCACAACAGTTACATATTGCGATGCCATGCCAAGTTATCTACAGAGTGCCTATGCAATTTTGGGAGAGTATGGAATTTAATTTGAGTAATTTCCTGGTCTGGAAAACTATGGAAAAAAGAAAGCAGAATATGGAAAAATATTTGCATTTCCAGACTTTTGCCCCTATTTAATTTTCTATAAAAGAAATTTAAGAGTTTAATGAAAATAAATTTATCGTACAAGAAGTGTTTTTTCATGTCAGCTGTTTAATGATTCTTTAGTGATTGTCAAACACGACTGAATTAATTCAAGGTGCACTTTTTCATTAAGTAAAAATGCAGGTTATATTTTGGGTTTCTTCTCACAATAGCATCAAATTACAGAGCCTCTAAAGGATCTTTGCAAAAATAAGAAAGGTAACACTTTATTTTAAGGTGTCCTTGTTACACATGTTACATGTACTTACTATTATAATAACAATTAATTATGCATAATTACATGCAAGTAACCAAACCCTAATCCTAACCCTAACCATATAGTAAGTACATGTAGTTAATTAATAATACTCAGTACTTAAATGCATAATTACACTGTAACAAGGACACCTTAAAATAAAGTGTAACTATAAGAAATATACAGACTTTCATGTGCATATGAGAATCATTAAACTTAGCATATAGGATGATGCTCACTGAGCCACCTATTGCTCCATCAGCTCATTTCGCAGTGTGGTTTTTTGTCCGCCACTGAGTACACGTTAAAGCAGACTTAAAGCCTTGAAATATGACGTACTGCCCTAAAGAAAGTCACATTTTGAACACTTTTTTACAGTACCAGTCTTTTTTATAGACCCTTGAACTTAGCAAATAGGACAATGCACACAACCATATTGTGCCATCAGCCCATTTTGTGTCATTGTTTCTCTGCCGCCACAGAAGATGCATTAGATTGGACATTAGGCATTGATATTAGAGGTACTACCCTAAGGAAAGCCAAATTTTGAGCTAATAGATCTCTGTTAATTCATGTGCATCCATGCTCTCATTTTCTGCATAGTAAGATGGCAAGTTATAGTACAGGTGCATCTCAATAAATTAGAATGTTGTGGAAAAGTTCATTTATTTCAGTAATTCAGCTCAAATTGTGAAACTTGTGTATTAAATAAACTCAGTGTTTTATTTAATACACGAGTTTCACAATTTGAGTTGAATTACTGAAATAAATGAACTTTTCCACGACATTCTAATTAATTGAGATGCACCTGTATATATAAAACTAGAAATTGTAATGGATAAAAAATTCCCATGCGCATGTGAGTAGTTTCTCGTGTGCATGCAAAAGTCAGTTTTTTTATTTTATTTTAAGGGACTCTGTATGTTGTCACTTTGAGAAAATAAATGAATAAACCCTTGAGAACATAACAATATTTACAGATGACTGTACCATATACCAAATATAAAGCTGAAAATAATGCTCCTGTGAACCATTTATGTTAAATATGGTCTGAAAATCTACTGAAAGGTTTGGAAATTTGAGTCTGGAAAAGTGTGGTAAGGTTTAGCACATTACATTACTTTTTTTTTTTTTTTTTTTTTGTATATTATATTTAGATTTAGATTACAAAATTTTACTTGCTGTTTTTCATTAAATTGCTTGACAGGAGCTATTGCATTGTTTGAGTCACCAGGCAAAACACGATTTTAGTTATAATATTAATTATTACCCATTACATTGCTTATTGACATTTTGTGTAGGGAGAGTGGTGCTTGCCCCAGAAAAACTCCAGAATAGTTGAGCAATATCACAACAAGAGTGCCATTTTTTCCTGAATATATGTGACCCTGGACCACAAAACCAGTCTTAAGTCGCTTGGGTATATTTGTAGCAATAGCCAAAAAAAACATTGTATGGGTCAAAATTATCGATTTTTCTTTTATACCAAAAATCATTAGGATATTAAGTAAAGATCATGTTCCATGAAGATATTTTGTACATTTCCTTCCGTAATATATAAAAACTTAATTTTTGATTAGTAATATGCATTGCTAAGAACTTGATTTGGACAACTTTAAAGGCGATTTTCTCAATATTTTGATTTTTTTGCATCCTCAGATTCTAGATTTTCAAATAGTTGTATCTCGGCCAAATATTGTCCTATCCTAACAAACCATACATAAACGGAAAGCTTATTAAGCTTAGCTTTAGATAGTGCATAAATCTCAATTTAAAAAAATTCACCCTTATGACTGGTTTTGTTGTCCAGGGTCACATATACTTGAGATAATGAGGAGTGCACAGCTGAACCAAACTAACTAATGATTGTAACCATGGTAACTAAAGAGTGGCAGGAAATCAAACAAAGAAAGGCATGAACTGAAGAAATACAAACTAAAAGTCCTTGGACTGAACTAGCCTGAACATAATGGTGACAATTATACAGTTCAAGAATATTTAATACAAGTTCATATTAAGTGAGTTACATTTTGGACACAGTATTATCTGTTTTTGGCCAACGAAAATAGTTCCGAACAAAGTCACGGCAGAACTTTTGCATATCTTAAAGCAAAAATGTTTCACTATTGCATGAATCTGTGCTCTTGAACAAATCATTTTAGTGAATGATTAATTTACCTATTCATAAGACAGTGACATGATTTGTTTCTGAATGCTCCAGCTGTTTGAACTAATTGGTTGAATGAATGACTCAGTGACTCGCAACCACCCACTAAAAGTATAATTTCATCCCCTAATTTCTGTCACTGCTGTGAACCACCACGCAGAATATGAAAAGATTCAGGAGTCAGCTGTCCTGACTCTGAACCCTCCTTCTCAAGTCTATTGAATTTTTCACCTGTTGTATTGCCCATCAGGCATCTATAAGTCCAGTGCTTAGTAAAATAATAGTACACCTCTTATCAAAAAGTTGCATGATTTGAAGTATCATTCACGTCAATAGTGAAAATGCAGGATGAGTTACTTGTTTAAGTTAAATTCATAAAGTTAAGGTTTTGTTCAAATCTGTAAGTATGAACAATAGTTAGAGGGATACCTGCCTTTTCAAACACCACTAATTATCATCTATCAGTGCACAGCTATGGGTGGCAGACAGATTGAGGTGCAGCTTGGCTCTGGTATCCAGATGCAAAGCTATTTTAGTCATCTCCCCTGCGCTGGCCTGTGTCTCTGCCTCCCCTTCACATTATTCAACAGCTCTCCCACTGATAAACTGTACGGTAATCGATCAGTTGGCGACCTGGTGAACTGGCAGAATACATGTGAGTGCGTTTATGTTTGTGTCAATGTGAGGGATTCAGTGCAGTCATACTCAACACATCATGGAGGATCAGCTAATGTCATAGTCAGTGGTAAAGCTGTCAGAAAGGATTTTGTGAAAGATTTGTTGAACAGTGTCCAATTATTGGCAGACTTCACAAGCAGAGAGCAGATCTCTGGTATTCTGCTCTAGTCCTTTATGATATATTTTTGAGCATTTAGTCTATCCCTTTTGAAGCACACAACTAGAGTGAGCAAATAGCATGCGAGTGTGGATGTGAAAAGGCATTTCATTGGCTAGAACCACTGAACAAACATGCCTCTTCACTACGTAAGAAAGTGTATGGAGTCTGTTAGGCCAATGTTTCCCAACCGGGGTGCCGTCTGTCGAGAGCAGGGGTGCCGTGTAAAAAATCATTTTTTAATATTTTTAAATTGCTAAAATATTCAAAAAAGCATCTATTATATAATATCCATTTCTGATGTCACCAATAATTAGAGATGCACCGAAATTTCAGCTGCCGAAAATTAGTTCACCGCTCAGGATTCACTTTCACGTGGTGGGACGCTCTGTGTATTATCCCGCTCTATGCGTGTGCGCTCCGCTCAGTTGCTCCACTCGTATTAAAAATATCTGTATGACATTATATTCTGCAGTTCTTCCCTGTTGTATCGAATATCTATACTTTTCAAATGATCATATCGAAGTTAGAAATTCAGATATTGTGACAAAATTAATTTTGTAGCGTGCCACAAGTTTGTTAAAATTTCCAAAGGGTGCCGTGTCAAAAAAAAGGTTGGGAAACACTGTGTTAGGCAGAAGAAGTAGCTGATTTATCAATATGCAAAAAGACATAAAGATGTTATTGAAGTTCATAATTTTTTGTATAGTTTGACAAGTCATGCTCTGAGCAGTCAACAAAAAGGACAAAATGCATCTGCTTTATTGTGGATAAAACGTTTATAATGTTTAAACACTATTTTTAGAGTCTCTTCTGGGATGTGTAGGCATGTACATTTTAAAAAGACTTGAACAAACCTGTTGAGTAAGTAATTCAATGACTTGCTCATAAGAATACATTCACTGGTTTCCACCTGCTGGTATCTTAATGTTACTTACAGAAAGAGTCACTGAACAAGTCAGTAAACTAATCTGACTGAACCTTTTTAATGAACAAAGTCAAAAGATTTGAGTGAAAGATGAAACAAACATCAACACCATTAATTCCAAAGTATAATTCGCTTGTCCACATTCTACTCTGTCTTACAGAAGCTGTTTTTTTTTCATCTTTCCTGTTCCATGAACTCATTTTCTTTTACAAGAATACACTCATTTATCTGCAGCCCATCAGGATTTAGTTATTCCAAGAAGCCTACTGTTGTTTCTCTCTTCTTCTTTTTTTTTTCTTTTTACACTGATTTCATTAAACAGTTGATGCATAATCCACATGTCATTGAGTAAAAAAAAAATAATAATAATAATAAAAAAAGAAAACTAAAGCATAATCATGCTCCAAGTATTGTTTCATAAACACATATGGAGAGTCGAGGGACATTCAGGATGATGCTACACTGGCAGGGTTGCATATACCAACCGCAACATAATACTAACTTCACTCTTCCTCTCCCTCACTCATATAGTGTCAATGAAGGCCAAAGAGAATGGATGATTAATGATGTTTATAGAGAGGCTGATTTTAAGTGATTTGTATAATCAATAGACAGAACAAAACGACACAGTTATGAGTAGCGGTTTACCGATATAGGCTTCACAATGGCCGATGGGAATGCTAGTATCTACAGTGACGGGTGAGATTAAATCTTAAATAGCACAACCAAATAAATAATTACAATAAACCTCCCAACCATGTGACCAACGTAAAATGACCAAACGCATTAGATAGGTAGTCATCAGTCCTTGACGTGCCGTCTGAGGCTTAGACTAGGTGGACTGGGCCAATATAATGCCAGTATATATGCGGATCAATTTAATGATAGCAAATGAGACAAAGAATACTTATTTTCACAATATTTAATCATATTTTACTAAGGCTGTTTTGACACCAGGCTTGTTTGGACCGTCTGTTTAGTAACCTGTTGCATTTTTTTCCCTTAGTTTGGTTCATTGTGGCATACAGGAACATGGCAATCAGCCCGAGATCGACTAAACGTAACATTGTTTCAGAACAAAGCAAATGATCTACAGAGTGTCTGGTTTTACTGATAAATACTCGGTTGTTTTCTTCTGCTGTGGTTTGGAGTCTGACTACACTATTGTATTACAAGATGGTGCAGTTTAGCTGCTGGGAGTTTATTTTAGGATAGTTTGTGGTTTTGGGAAATCGGTTCCATTTCTGGCAAAGGAATTCATAAGCAATTCATGCTCCTGTGTTTATGTGTGTTTGTGCTCCAGACTCACATCGTGGCTGTGTAGCTAAGCTGTCATTCTCCTGTCCACTGAAAGGACACTACTGCCTCTACGGGAAGTCCTGTTTCTCGCTGTGTAGCCACCAGCCACACCTCTGGATCCAAATCATGCTACTGGCACTGCAGGTAACAATCGGACACGTTTTTGTGCCACAAGATGTATGGCTGCGTCTGTGTTTGTACATGCTTAGCTATACTTGTGAGGGCCAAATGTCCTCATTTATGTAATAAAATATCATGACAGCCACTAGTAAGGACAGGCATTTAATTCGTCTGAATTTTGTTTATATATTCAAATCTAGTGATTAGTGATGGGAGAACGGAACCATTTCAAAGCTTCAAATCAATAAAGGCTTTATTTTCCATGCTGCTATGTTTACATTGCAGAGTTTGGGGAATGACATCTGTATTCAAATCGTGACTGAATCAGAAATTGTGATGATTGACATAGACGCGACATAACAACGGATGGGACTAAATAGACCTGTGCATTAAGTCTCTGAGTGTAAATGCATACTAAACGCTCTCTCACTTGATCTATTATGTGTAATGTGTTGCTTTGTTCTTTATTTTATTATTTGGGCTTTGTGGTTAATCTTATCTTACCATGAGCAGCAGTCAGTGTGATGCTTGCCTTAGCAAACACCACTAATTATGAGTAGCGTGTATCTTGGCAAGCTAGCAGTGTATCATGTCTGTGTGCAGAGTAAAGTGAGCGAGGCGTTGTGCTGTCAGGATGAGTGTGTTAAGCAGCTGAGGAAACTTTGGGAGAAAACACAGCTGACGGGAGCTCACAGCTTTGAACTGGCCATGACCCAGGCAACTGTTCCTCACAAGAAGGTAAAGTCCTCAACCGTTTCTCTTGTGCTCTTCCTCTTTTATTCTCTCTCCATCTATCTGTCGCTCACACAAACACATACTTTATGAACCAACACGCATCCACTCACTCAGCACTTCTCTTCACTTGAGAAATCACACTGGATTTGGCTTCACAAGCCAGTCCATATGATTTTGAGTCCAACTTGATGTTTGAAGGGATTGTTCACTCCTAAAAAAGGAAAAAGACACAATTCATGTGCTGTGTTCTAAGTTTTCTGAAGCTATGCAATTGCAGTCATGCCAAACGTCATCAGTTATTGTATGTAACATGACATTGTGAACCGTAAATTAACAATCTCATAATGCTTTATCGCATGCAATAGCAGGGGGTGTTAATACTTTTTCCCATGCAATTGTGTTGGCAATGGCCATTTATTGACAAGCGTTAGTTTTCTCAATGAAAGCTGAACACAAGTGTTCACACGACCAGGTGGAAACAGTACGTGCATCTAGGCTGACCACTTTGGATCGAATCGCTGAAAATGCATCTTAATTACTAACCCTATATTGTGATTAATTCTTTATCACGATTCATTTTTCATATCCACAGTGCATAAATCCCCAGCTCTAAGCTAGATTAAATAAATAGGAAAAATCAGTCATCCTCCCCCTTCCTCGCTGCGGGGACATTATGAGGAAGAAGTGGCCCAGCAGGATAGGAAATGTATGTCTGATCCTGATCAAGGATTACAATTATGCCTTTGAGGAGAATGTATGGGTTATCACAGTGGAAACTATTTATGCATGTGTTAAAGGAACACTCCACTATTTTTGAAAATAGGCTCATTTTCCAACTCCCCTAGAGTTAAACAGTTGAGTTTTACCGTTTTCGAATCCATTCAGCCGATCTCCGGGTCTGGCGGTAGCACTTTTGATGAAAATGAGCCTATTTTCAAAAATAGTGGAGTGTTCCTTTAACAGCAATCTTGTCGTACAAGTCAAAGTTTTCTGTGGAGATCAATAAAGAAAGACCTACACTAAAGTACACTCTTAAAAATAAAGTTTTTTATTGGCATTTATGGTTCCATGAATAACTTTTAACATTCATGGAACCTTTTCATTGCACAAAAGGTACATTAGATAATTAAAATGTTCTTCACACTAAGAAAAAAATGGTCCTTTTAAGAACTGTTTTCTGAAAGGTTTTTTGAAGAAGCCAAAAAAATAGTTCTTCTATGGCATTACTCCAAAAACACTAGTTTGCAAACTGTATTTTTAACAGTGTAGATATTTAACATCGCAGAGCCCAACATATGCCCTCCGTTACAACCACATCCATGGTGGAAAACAGCCATGTCATGGAAACTGTGACGGGTCAGAGGTCATGCTGAGACGGGGTTGTTTACGTTAGGTCATTTCCTCTTTATGGTGCCATGTGAATCCAAGTGCTCGGATGATCTTATCAAACATTGTAAATGTCAACTCTGGAATAATTACATAGTACAGCTGGTGTCTTTTGTGTCTTTATGCTCTCTTCCTTTTCTTCCTGCCATTTCTAAATCTTTATCGTCCAGTGAAGAACTTTGTGTGCACGTAACACATATGGTATCTGTTTATGTTGGGCACATGTGCACATGCAAAAATACGAGGCAGGACTCTAGCAAACCCATCTTGAATGCACTCGTAAACATCCCCCAAATGATGCCCTAACCCCTGACATTTCCTTTGATTTGCTGTCTGGCCTACGTTTAAAGAGACAGCTTTTACCAGCATTGAAAAGTTTATATCATAAAAAACTGGATGAGTTTGTAGACATACTGTAGGCATATGCAACCCCATATAGTGAGACAAATGTCCATGTATTGGGGCATTGCAAAAGGTGTCTTTTTTTCTTGGCTAGTAATGATGGAAATGTTGGTTTTTTTTTGTTTTTTGGTTAAGACTTTAAGGTTTGAGTCTATACGGAGTTTGACTTTAGGGGGAAAATGTGAAACTAGCCCCTCATTTATACAAGTTAAAAATAAAAGAAGATTTAAAGAAAATCGCAAACTGGCTATAATGTAACAGTCAGTTTTGATGCATCTCAATATGTAATGACAGAATTACATAATACTACATTGTGAAAAAAAAAATCTGTGAAATTAACAGTAAAAAAGAGCAGCTGATATTACAAATATAGTATTAAAAATATAGTAGTAACATATTTAGCTTTATGGATTGAGCACAAATATTTTATTAACTCACATAATGTTAATATTACAAAGTACTAAAAAATAAGAAGAAACATAATTATCAAAAACCATCAAACGTGAAGTGTCACATAGGGAATCCGGGAATGTCAATTTACGTTTTTTCATTGTTAATTATAAGATGGCGTGTTCTTTTTCACTTTGAAAATCTGCGTATTTTAGTCAGCTAGCTCTGTATACCGTTAGGGATCTTACTGTTAATCAAATTAGCAGTTTTTTACTGTAGCATTGTACTTTAACATTGTGCATTGTATTCGACGGTGTTTGAACAAGGTTGGAATTTGAATTGAATTGATAATTTTTGCAAAAATTAAGAATAACAAAAATAACAAAAAACAAGAGAATAAAAAACCCCATCCCATTCATATATATAAAAAAATCTGTCAAGGATAAACAAACACAGTAAAGCCTGTAGCTTAAAGTCCTTGAAGCTTTCCAAGCTTTTAAAAAAAAACTCTGCATGCTCAGGGAACAAAGACAAATTTCTGGCATGTACTGTAGACAGGCCATGGGTGTACATTTTTAATTTTAATGAATGAATCATTTGTAAATTCTGTTAAAATGCCTGGACTACTCACTCAGTCCAGTGTTCAGTCATGTCCAACTCATGAGCCAAGAACCAGGAAGTAATATGATCATGTTTGAGTTTGAGTGCTAACTGTACTGTTCATAATGAGGAAAGTTCCCCAAATACACAACAGAATCATTTGTTTTATCAGTTTGTTTCCATTCTTTAAGGTCAATGTGACACCAAGAATTTGAGTCTGTTAGTGTAACGCCAGCTTTAATAGGTGGGAGGACTGGTCACAAAAATCATGTTTAAACCCGTTTTAGTGGATCAGAGTGGACAGTGGAAATTAGATTAAATGCTAGAAGGCACCGGGTCATATGCCACACAGGCTTTAGAAAGAGAGTTAAACTCATCAGCAATATGCCTTTGCAACTATTAGATTTTTTTCTCTCTACTTAGAAAAAAAAAATAAGTAGACAAAAATAAAATTGCAGGAGGTCTTAGTGGAATTTTCACCACACAGCATCTTGAAGGCATTATAAGTCACTTTGCTAATGATAGATCACACTGAAATAATAGTAAATAATGGAAATTGTTTAGAGAATATAGAAAAGCCCCTTTGACTCACATCACTGTGTTTTACTGACTGGTGGATGGGATCCTATTACCATCCCTGTGTGAGTGCATATGTGCATGTGTTGTGTGTGTTAGGCAGACTGAGGCTCTATAAAAGGACACTGGGAAGAGTGTTGCAAAAGTATCCATTACAAACAGAAGGACCTCTATTACTTTTCCGGTCTCCACAGGATAATGATGACATGTTAGCTAGCATGTTGTAGGCCCCATGGTTTTGGCTGCCCTCCCCTGACACTTTTGCACATCTGGGGCTTAGCGTTTTCGGCGCACATGTTCACTGGGGTTTTGAGAGTCAAGGTTGGTGTTGACGTGTTTCTTTTGACATACTAGAATAGCGTAGTCCCATTGTTCAGCTCTGTTTCCCAACACTGGCAGTCTGCCGGTCCGGATTGCCCAACATTTTGGATTAGAATAAAAAAGTGAAAATTAACTTCCAGGCATGTTAAACACTGTCGGGGACCTCTCTGATAATTATCCAACCACCCTCAATGTGTTATATTTCTCTGTGATTCACTGGACTGACTCATCATTTCCTGTGTGTCACTCAAGTCATCTTGAGTCATCAGTTTACAGATTGAGTTTGTGAAAGCGTTTGTGAATGATTACGTGACTTCTTAATAGTTCAAATTTTGTATTAGTTAAAGGCATGTCATTAAACTAATTTTATGATCCATTCTTGTTTTATGAATGACTGAACAAAGATTTCTGTTCCTTCATTGAAAGTGGGTCATATGACGTTGCTAAAAAGAACATTATGTTGTGTATTTGGTGTAATGCAATGTGTTTATGCGGTTTAAGGTTAAAAAAACACATTATTTTCCACATACTGTACATTATTGTTGCTCCTCTATGCCCCGCCTTTCTGAAACGCGTCGATTTTTACAAAGCTCATCGTTCTGAAAAGCGAGGTGTACGCGTCACACACGGCGGGCTTGAGTGAGCGGAGGCCGGTGGGCTTGAGTGAGGATCGGCCGGCGGGCTTGCGGCAACCACACGTGAGGACCTCGGGCTGGACTCCACTTCGTCCACGGTGAAAGCCGATTCGGCGATCCACAGCGCGAAGTTGATGTATTTCCTCAGCGACCAGCACGGATCAGCTCTAGGCATGACGAAGCGGATATCATCCTCTTTTGGAAGGCCAAACAAAGTAGTTTCGCTTTCACAACGAAACACACAGGGACTCTACGACATGGCGGCGGCAACAACAATACTACAGCGAGAATAAAAGTTAAGCTTTCTTTCTTTGCGTGAACATTTGGGCGGTGTTATGCAAATCTTCCCATACAGTGACGTAGACATGTGGGGGAGTGTTTAAACAAGGCGTTTTAGAAGGGCGTGGACAAGTCTTAACTTTTATAAAGAATATCTCTTTGCGTTTGAGACTTTAGTCTTTGCAACTTTAGGGATCTTATCTATGCACGAACAGCTTGTAACACTCCAAAGAGAAAGGACCATTTGAAATTGCATCATATGACCCCTATGATTAAGCTCTTTGAAGAGATACTATCACTTTAAATGATTTAGGATTTTATTCACATATATACAAAGTTCTGTAATGAAACTCTATATGGATAGGTTCTAACCCAATCTGATATAATCACATCATTATTCACATGACACAGCTG